GACTAGTCTTGCTGCGCCTATCTATTGGTCTCGTGCCAGCCGCTGAAAACCCTCAAGGTTTCGCGTTTAGGCTTTCGTGCTTTCTCCGCCTCTGGGTCGGCGGACTGAGCCGGAGGCTCTTAAGTAATACTTCCCTATATAATCCCCTAGATAACCCCCTATATAACCTCACATTGGGGAGTCTTTACTACATGGGATCAGCCCACACCGGGCAAGGAACTGACTTTTTCTGGGTTGCTGTTAAGGATATATAGTAACTAGCATGATTTCCCCAATATAGTGTCTTAAAAGAAGTTCCTTAACAGCAACCTAGTTTTTGCAAAAAGGTCGGCAAACATCGGACCGTGCGTGCCAGTGGCTGGCTGTGCTGACTCAAACATTGTCATAGCGAGTCTGTGTTAGAATTCCATGCAGCAAAACATGGGTACATCCTGCAAAGAATACGGTCAGAATCAGGTCGCCTCGCTTAGTCGGCCTAGTCTTATCCGCAGCTTCATGCTTCACTCCCTGAACCCCAAATCCTACACCCTAAACCCCAAAACTATAGCTCATATGCAGTCCAGTATCACGGGGCCCTCCTTCGGCTGAAAGCAGGTTTGGCAGCGGCAGCTATTGAAGCGATGCATCCGCAGGGAAAGCGTATGGTTCGCTTTACCTGAAGCAGGCAGGATAATGTAGACCCCTAATTAATGAACCCCCTCCCCTAAATGGGGATTATAGCAGGGATCCTAATATGAAGGTCCTTAAAAGGAGGGGGTTTATCAATCAGGGGTCTACATTACCACATGGGCTGAGTGCTCTTCTTGCCGTTCAAAGTGGTTGGAGCTGATTTATGGAAGCTTGCGCAGCCCACGATTTGTCTAACACTTGCATGGACACACTCCATGTACCTTACCACATTCGGCTTTAGACACTCATGCAAGTAATCATCAAAAATAAAATCCGCTGCATCCCAAGCAGAACTAATTGAGCAGTGTATCTTGGCGGTTGGACCTAGTAAGATTATCTTCCTTATATAGAAATACTATACCAAAAAGGAGGATATAATCTTACTCTATATTGGGTGCCATAATATCCCCAAATAAAATACTACTCAAATCCTGCTGGTATTGAGCAAAGCAGGGCCAGCAGCAAAAGGAATCTGGCTCTGCTGGCAAAGGTACTCCAAACAGTCACATTCAAGTGGGTTCCAGGCAAGTAAACGCGGCGATCGGCGGCTCCAATGAAGTCACCTCTCCTGGGTTGCTGTTAAGGAACTTAAATTAAGTGACCATATACATATAGTAACTGATATAGTTTCCCCAGTAGAGTAGCTTAAATCAAGCACCAAAACAGCAAGTCACCTCTCCGCCGACAAACTACTGCTGTGGCAACCCAGCCACGTAATGTAGACCCCTTTGGGTGTAGTGGGCTATATAGGGTTTATAGGGAAAATGGAAAAGAACATGAAAACTACTATAATGGGTTGTATAGGGATGATAAGGTATACATCGGGGCTTAACCACCCAGACCCCTGATTAATAATCCCACTCCCATTAATAGGGATTATAGTGGGGATCCTACTAGTACAGCCCTTAAAAGGCTTAGAAAGACATTTGTTACCAAGTGGTCCAGCCCATGGAAGCACCTGCCCTGCCAATCTTTTACTGAATCTCTTCTGCTGGAGTTTCTTGCCGAACTTGGGACGAGTTTCTCCAAAATGGCATCCGCAGCTGCTCCGATGTCGACGTGAATAGAGTCACCACAATCTCGAACAACGACACCTGTTCCAAGCTGCATGTGGATTCCGTCCCCGTCATAACATCTTGCAAATGTGCACCTTCGACTCGCTCGCCTTCCGCAAAGTCTGCCGTCTTCCTGATCACTGGCTTTTGGAGCTACATGCTAGCCGTGGCGAATGCTGGCTGCTTGGAGACAGGATCTGACAGTGCTTTGGTGATCATATTTTTCTCCCGCTACATTGTTGCCAGGCAGCCGCTTGATCATACTGGCTTCTTCAGCAGCCAGCTCCTATCATGAGCAGCCGATATACTACACATATATATATATACATATAACCCAATTTAGTGGTTTACGTTTTCTTTTCCATTATCCCTATAGAACTCCTATACACTATACCGGTTTCCATTTTCTTTTCCATCATCCCTATACAGCCCCAACATACTATAGTGGTTTCCATTTTCTTTTCCACTATTACTCGTATATAACTCCCATAAACCCTAAACCCTAAACCTTCCTAAACCCTAAACCCTATACAACCCCAATATACAACAAAACCAGGCACAGCAGCTTCCCCCGTTGAGAAAATGCTTCCGGGCAGTTTGCAGTTAGCTTCTTCGACCCCAATGACCTACTGTCAAGATTAAGGGTTTGGGGTTCAGGGATATTACCCCACTATTGGAGAATCAAATGGAAGATGACATGGAAACTAGGGTTGTATAGGTGTTGAATAGACGTGCGGACACAGTTGATCTGTGATGATTCTAGGCAACAAGCAGCAGCTCCGTCCGACAATCCTCGTCCATTTCCATCAGCACCTCCATTGTCATAGAATGCATCTTCCTCTCAGCCCATCTCGGGTGCCTGCAGTTGTCAACATTTGTGCTGATGTCTCCCCATCAGGCAACATTGCATTCACTACACATCCCGCTCTTTAAAAACACCGTCCATTTGCTTGCCGCCTCCTCGGTGCTTGCTTTTGACTTAGCACAGCGAAGCTCCCGGATTTTCGAAGGCGCCAGGCGCAAACAGCCTGAACAGCCAGCTTCAAGTTAACTCTCACATGAAGCGGCGTACACTTTACAAACTCCAAAAAGGGGTGCGCAAACCAGGCACCGGCAATGCCACACATCTTTCCAATGTTCAAACAATTATCACCACCTCTACATCAGCAGCAGTAACAACAACAACAACAACAAGACCAACAACAGTCGCAGCAGCAACGGTCGCAACCGCAACCACCCCACCACCACCAGCGCCGGCACACGCCGGCACAGTCACCGATACCGGCCGGCCATGGCGCAGCTGCACGCACAGAATAAGGCTGGCGCAGCGGCAGCACCATCATCAACCCCACCATCACAAATACAACAACCACAACAATCACATCCACATGCATCCACCACATCCACCGCTGCAGTAACAGCAGCAACAGAGACCAACAGCCACAGCGAAAGCAAGAGAGGCGAGAGCAGCAACCATGGCACAATCTCTTCCACGTCCACGACCACAGCCACGGCCACAGCACTGACGATGATGACAACACAGGCGCCGAAACCACATCATGAACAAGGAAGAGAACACAAGCCTGGTGATTCAATATACACTCTCTGCCTCGGTCACAAAGCATAACAGTGGCCTCGTCTATTCAAACCCCTTCAACCTCAACATAAAGACTGAGATCCTGGCCAGGAAGATACACAGGTAGCCGGCAATGTGCCTGAAACCCCTGGGTGCCTGCACACAGGAAGAAGCTTAGCTTGGCTTCCGCTTGATACAAGCGGTGGGGCTAGGTGTTGTTTTAAGCTATGTGAAGTCACGCGTCCCCATGCTCACAATGGGTTAGCACGAAGTCACGCCAGCTGCGTAAACTCACCCCAGGAACTATGAGTCGCAATGTGAGCCCGCCGAAACGGTGCGTGGCATGTCACTTGTTGGTGAGACGGACCAGAAGCACCACTTTTCATATCGTTGAAACGCCATGCGCATGCGTTTTTCAAAGCACGGTTTGCAGTAAAGAACCTGCGCGTGGCATTTGAATCGGTGGTCGAACGGAGCGAAAGAACCTCATCTCATATTGTCCTGAGAAACAACGCGTTTTGATGCATCATGTTAATTCGTGCAGGAAACTAGGAAATGCCATGCACATGCGCTTTCCAAGGCAGATGTTCGACATCAAATAATGTCGCTGCGTGTGACTTGTTGGTCAAGTGGACCAAAACACATCATTTCAGACTGCGCTTCACCTACTGCACTGAAACAACAATCCCCTCTCTAATGAAGATATTCACGATGCTATGGCCGCGGATGAAAGCCCAAAGTACAAGCGCCTGCCGAAGGACTTCACACGTTACGGAACGACTTTATCCCAATACCAATAGCTGACAACAATCCCTCGACGCCGCACTAAGCGCGACATTCCTAACCACCTCCCCCTAAAATCCACCGTCGGGGCGGGGGGGTATTCGGGAAGAGAGGTACTCCCATCATGGGAGCGCAGCAGCCATTGTGATGCTAACACGGATGGGCTTCTTTCTTGCCCAGTTTAGGGTTTAGGTTTCGGAAAGTATTTCCTCTGAACATTAGCTTATGAGGTGACAATTGAAAGAAAAAAGACAAACCCATGACATCAAGAAAATCCCTCCCTGCTTACTCAAGAGCGCCTTTTTGTCACCCATCCAACTCCTTACTCTCACTCGAGCACTGATACTCCCATACTACTCCAAGCCAAAGGTCCAAATCCTAGCTGAATCACATCCTACGAGATTTATTAATCCAACCCCACAGAGATACCCCTTGCAAAAGAAAAGTGTCTCAAATTTATCTTGAGGGATTATTTTGAGGTGCACTAGATGACCCACAGGTGACCACATGTTCTTCATGAGGCAATCGTATCAGATTATCCTGGATGCGTGGACGGACTTGAACATTAGAAGAGATGCTTCCAGCCGCTATCCTGATAGCCATTCATCGCTATTTCAAGGGGACCTCGCATGCCTAGTGAGTATGCTGGCTTGTGCAGCATGTTATTCAACAATGTATTTGTTGCACAGTTGTGCCGACATGCAATCAAGCCGCATGCTTGCGCTGCATCGAGTGCACATGGAGCGTCGAATGATCTTCAGGCTTCTCGGGGGCGAGCGACGCTGACCCTCTAGAGTAGCTTCTAGAAAGCTTCAATCCATCTACTTTCATCAATATCATGAATCATGTGAGCTACAGTCAATATTACCCAGAAAATTAATGGACATGAGTTCCTCTTTAGGCAGTATATTAAAGACTATGAGACTATACTACACTACGAGGACTCCTATGTCCACTGATAAGGGTGCCTTAACAAAACTGATATTGACAGTTGCTGCCTATGTAAGCCATCGCTGTGAGCCAGTTGGAGCAAGAGAGGCGGCAAGGCTGTGCAGCTAAACAATCCTCAAGGTCATAAAGCGGGATACTAGGAGTTTAGACCCTAAACCCTAAACCCTATGTTCTAGGGGTTATGAAGGGGGATACTAGGAGTTTAGACTATAGCTCATGTTTCAACACAGGGCCCGGGCCGCAACAACCAGGTTGAAGACCTGACACCAAGCTATCAAGGCCACGGTCTACTTCACTGCGAGCTTTGCATAAACCTAAACCCTAAACCCTTAACTCTAAACCCTAAACCCTAAACCATTAATATTAACCCTAAACCCTTAACCTTTAACGCTGAACCCTAAACCCTAAACCCTAAACCCTAATGCTGGTGCAACAGGCTGGCCTCTACGACATCCTCAGGCCGCAGACAGGCAGCCTCTGCGGCGCTTCTTATGTTCTTTCCCAGACCCCCTAAAGGATCCAAAAAATGGAACCCCTTAATACTCTCCTAGTTTCCCCAATGTAGTAATGGGTTCATATTGGGGGGGTTCCATTTTTTGGATCCCTTAGGGGGTCTGGGTTGAGATAGGGGTATATAGGGTTTTTTTTGCTATGGCCGTG